AGAGCAGTGGTTCCCAAACTTGGCAACTTTAAGCCTTGTGGACCTCCACTCCCAGAATCCTCCAGGCAGCTCTGCCTGGAGAATTCTGGGAGTTGAAGTCCACAAGTCTTAAAGTTGCCAAGTTTGGGAACCACTGCTCTAGGACTACCAGTATTATAAAGACAATAATATTTATAATCTTATGTCATTTCAACAAATAACCATTGGTAATTTCAGTGGTTTGCAAATGCTTTGGAAAATTTTGGGGCATATTTTAGTACATGTGACAGTCTTCAAGACAATGTAAATGTCTGGTTAATGCAATTGTGTGTTGTTATTCCTCCCCCCCCCAACAACTTGGGGTATTTTGCCCCAGGTTTGGGAAGCACTGTTTTAGCAGATTATACCTTGCTTAGGGATTTATATGCGTCTGGATCAACAAAAGTGAAAGGTGCCTCAACTCGGAATTTCTCTCTGAACTCATGTTGTTTAAGCTGAACAAAAAAGAAAGAGAAAGGAAATTTTGAACAGGTAATTAATAATGGTTAAAATGCAACACTGGAACACTTAAGGACCTCCTCCTTCAACCAGAATTGGCCTGTCCAATATGAAAAAGTTGCTGCCAGTCCCCACTACCATCAGAACAGAAGGACTGGAGCTGAGAGGAGATGCTTAGTTCATCGCTGGAGATTAACTCCCTTAACCTGGTTGGCCTTCTGAAAGAATGATATTGGGCTTTTCTGGATGACCTTTTTAAAGATAGTAAGATAAGCCTTAAGAATTGTTTCTATGTTACACTTGTCATAGTTAACAGGGTATGCAGAGTCAGCCTATTGCCCCCAACAATCTGGGTCTTCATTTTACCCACCTCAGAAGGATGGAAGGCTGAGTCAACCTTGAGCCTGGCGAGATTTGAACCGCCAAATTGCAGTCAATCAGCAGTCAACAGAAGTAGCTTGCACTACAGCATTCTAACCACTGCGCCACCATGGCTCATAATGTGACCTTGCTGCCAAACGGAGGGCAGGTATCCATCTAAAGCCTCTTTCCTCCCCTCATATGCTTAATCTATGTTATACTTGAGGGAATTTGAGCAATGTTGGACCTTAATCATAAAACATACCTCAAATTGTTGGCATTTTCTTCGGATAATTGTAACTTCATTGGCCTGCAGAGGAGCCACATTTTGTTTGACTTGGAAGGACAACTTTTTGGTATTGTTCCATTGCTCTGGCAATTCCTAAAAAAGAGGAAAAGAGAGAGAGAGAGAGAGAGAGGGAGGGAGGGAGGGAGAGGGAGAGGGAGAGGGAGAGAGAGACAGAGACAGAGAGACAGAGAGAGACAGAGAGAGACAGAGACAGAGAGAGAGAGAGAGAGAGAGAGAGAGAGAGAGAGAGAGAGAGAGAGAGAGAGAGAGAGAGAGAGAGAGAGATTGATTTTGTCCATGCAGGTGTGAGAGACCTTTGGATGAGGGGAATAAATACAGACTATTATAGGTAACATGAGGAGAAAAAAGAAAATAAAGAAGTCAAATAGCTAAATAAGAGGATGAACACATTTGTTGGGGACTTGCTCTATTCATATTTGTGACTTTTCGAACACCAATTTCAGCAGAGTGAACAGTAAAGAAATATGGCAGATCACATGGATCTCAAAGAGCTGAAACAGAATTATAGAAAGGATCCCTGCAGATTGTGCAAATTTAGCGTTTAATTAGGTATTTACCTTCCTAAATTATTATTTTTTCTCTGAATGTTCTGTACTTCTTTCAACTCCAACATATAGGAACTATAAAAATGTTTGATACTTGTGATTGTTTATATTGTACAAAAGGAATCGTATCATTTTATACTATATCCAAATACTTTTTTAAAGAAAGATAACTAATAGCTAATTGTTTCTAGTGAAAATTACTGCTGGCATACTTACATGCAACTGCATATGGATCTCTTCAGGCATTTCTTCTCCGTACAATTTTAGTAATTCAATAGTCTGCTTTAGAGGCTCAAACATATTGTCTGTAGCTACTTGTCTTTCTTTGACTTTCATCAAGTGTCCCATCACTTCAACAAGCCCATCGTAGTCACCCTCTTTCACTGGTTTAGTTAAGCCTACATTTGCCTCTTTCATGAAAGCAGCAAGCTCCTGGAGGCTACAAAGGGCAAAAAAAATGATATTCTGGCTTCCTTCAATGCGGTAATAACATTGATTTGAACTTTAGAGGAAGTAGCCATGTTACTCTAATTTACAGCAAATCTTTAAAGTGTTTTTGTAAACTCACATCCTCATGTGGAAGTGCCCACCAACTCAGATTCCTTTAAAACTAGATTAGACAAATTGACAAAGGATAAGGCCATCAGAGATTACTAGCTGTCATCTTGTGTGGCATTTTCAGAATCAGAATCAGCGTGTTTATTCGGTAGAGTTGATAGCTAATTCAAGTGTGAGAGGTGTTGTTACATGGGTGGGCTACTTGTGGGCTTCCCAATTACAAATAGTGAGTTTCTGAAGGTAATCACTGTGATTGCCTTGAACACACTCCATATTTGGGGAGGAGGAAGGGTTGTGTTATCAGATGCTTGGAAATTGTCAAAATCTTCCGATCCTACCTATTAGTGACATGATTGATGAGGTGCTGCTTGAACATTAAACTCCAGCGTTTGATAGTGTTCAGGAGTGCTTGCTTGAAGGGCCGACAATCACTTTGCAGCCAACCATTGAACACTTTGGTATTATCAAACTTGGATACTTCTTCATATAGTTTTTCGTATGTATCAATCTAGGAAACAAAACAAAAAAAAGTTTCGAAAAGAAATGGACCTAGCAGAGGTACAATTTCTACATAAAACCTTCCTGCTGCCTATCTTTTCTGAGGTAGACAGCATAAACTCTTTCACTGATGGGCAAAACATAGATGACTGGAGGATAAATGTGTCTTACAAAGTCTGCATTAGTCAACTTCCCATTACTGCCACAGAATTGAAAAAGGTAAGGAAAGGCTATCTTTTCTAGGGACAGAGTGCCCTCTTTCGGTTGTAGATGATTAGCAAACATACTTTACAAAAGATGAAGAAAAGAAAGCACAGGTACTCAGGACAAAACAATTCTTAGGTTAAGAAAAAACCACCTTTGATCATATGATATGTAAAGGACAATAATGTATTTAATGTATAAGAATGGGATTATTTGAATGATGATTTGAATCCTATGTATAATTGTAAGTATTGACCATGTTATACTGAAAAGTTTTTTATATATTAAATGGACTAATGATGATGTAATGAATAATTTTTACATACATGAATTGAAATGTTCAATAACTACTTGGATTATCAATGGGAAATTATTTCTGGAGTTGAATATGCCACACTATAAGTATTGTATATTCTATGGATGATTAATATTAGCAGTAACTTGAACACATAATGCTCAATGATAATGATGTATTTAGTTATGTTTGATGGATAACCAGTGATCTTATTTTTAATTGTAAAAACTGATNAAGATGTAATGAAGAATGATTCTTTTTTTGTGTTTTTGTTCAATTAAAATAAAATAAAAAACTTTTCAAAAAAAATAATTATGCCTATTTGTAATTACACTATATTAAAAAAAAGCATTTAAACAGAAGGTGCAAAAGTTTATATGAAAAAGCAAACATTCATCTTAATCAGTAGAATTGATAGGCTTATTTTAACTTTGGTTTCTAAAAATGCTTAATACCAGAGGTGGCATTCAGCAGGTTCTGAGCAGTTTTGGAGAACCGGTAGTGGAATTTTTGAGTAGTTTAGAGAACCGGTAAATACCACCTCTGACTGCCCCCACCCCCATCTATTCTCTGCCTCCCAAGTCCCAGCTGATCGGAAGGGAATGGAGATTTTACAGTATCCTTCCCCTGCCACTCCCATCAAGCCATGCCCACAGAACCGGTAGTAAAAAAATTGAATCCCACCACTGCTTAACACTGTACAATGTTTGCTTGCTTGCTCCCTAGCATGCAGAGCCTTGGTCAGATTTTATTCTCAGCTATTCTGAAAACATCGAACAGATCCCATGGTGAAGATTTGCCCACACAATGAAGAAAGGAATGAGAATCACAGCTGTGTTCAATGTCATTTCAAACTGTTCTGTACCTATGAGGGAGTAATTAATGGTCATGGCATGAGACAAACCGTACCTTTTCCATCCCAGATTCTTTCACAGCCTTATCTACAATGCTGCGAACCTCATCTTCAAAGTTGTGAAGATTCAGCTGAAGTAGGTCTGCCAGTGTTGTTTCCTCAGACATGATAAACTTCACCTGGTGCAGAAGACATGTTAGGAAGGACAGTCAATCAGAGCAGAACATTCTTCTGTAGTTTTTCTTTTCTACTCTGCAATTTTATAATAATTGCAGCTTCAATTTATATTCAGATTAACAACAAATCAGAAGAACCAATGTTTGGATCTAACAATTTTATGACTTTACTTATAGTAGATTTATTTATTTAAAAGACTTTATATAGCTATTTATTTTTCATAACTCTAGGCAGCTCACAATACAATAATAAAAACAATTTTTAAAATATAGTTTTTATGTTGTGGCTCGGCAGGAACCGTTGGAGCTGCCACCAGACTCGAGAGGTCTTATGAGTCGGCCCTGGAAGATGCGGAGGACCCTGGACAGGGTTCCGACTCTGAGCAGGGCGCAGAGAGACTAGTTGGTCTCCAGGTGACGCCTGAGCCTTGGATCAGTGGGGAGGAGACAAGAGTGAGTGATCCAGAATACACCTGTGAGTTGTTCTGGGATGCACGCCGTCGAAGGGCTACTCGGCGGCAAGAACAACTGCAGGAGGTGATTACACTCAGCTGATGCTCATTAAGATCCTCTCCTGATTATAAAAGAGACTGCTTGTGCAACGCCCTTCTGCAGAAGTCAACGTTAAGGATTAACAGGAAACAAACTTGGCAGGCTAGATTGCTGCCAGAGTTTGTTTGCATTGCTGCCAGGTTTTGTAGGACTTGCTGCTGGAGTGCTTATCTCTTTGTTTATGTGGCTTGCAGCCAACTAGAGTCTGGACTGATTAAAAACATTCTCATTTACGTTGGTTTCGGCGTTCGTTCCTGGATGGAGAAGGGGGGGGGGTCAGAACATTTTTATATATATTATTTTTTGTATTTCACTTTATCGGAACACTTCAAATTTGTTGGTGGAAGATCAAATATTAGAAAGAGGATGAGGATGACAATTATGGTGGGCCTTTGTTTTAGCCTACATTAGATTACCTGGGTGGCCTCCATGAGTTCTTTCCAATGTCTATCTCGGATAGCTGGATTCTGGAGGTCACTGACAGCTCGAAGAGATGTGATCATGTTCTTAACTGTATTATCAAGTCCTATAAAAGCATCCCACGGTCTCATTTCCTTGTCCAAAGTTCTCACATCCTTAGCAAATTTCTTGCAGTCAAGATCCATTTGTTCAACATTAATCTCTTTCCACTTGGTTGTCTTCCAATCGTTAATGCTTTCATTTACCTAGATGGAAATGTATGTATGTGTGCAATCTTTGACTGGAGAAACAGTCTATTATAAAACTTATGTTGAATCATTTTGAAGGCTTCAACAGATTTTACAACTCAAAGGAGAGAAAAAGCAAGGAGATATCTATTTGAATCCTTTACTACTATTCATCCCTATGCAATGCAAATAATGTGCTATTCAAACCTACTTCTCAGTAGCCCAAATAGGTCCATTCAAAATAAAGGTTTTCCAGCATTAGAAACAGGGAGCACAGAGCTTTAAACAATTTGCTATTTAATGAGTGCATAAGCAAGTTGTTTGTGGGTGCTCTGGTGGCAGATAATCAATATCTCCAGAAATACGGATAGAAAAATCCGCCAATGCCAAGAAGTTGGAAATAGTCATAAGTGTTTGTAACAAGCCACCTGATATCAAAGTGGTGGCTCAGGGGTGTGGTGTCATTATGCAAGTGACAACATTTTGTAAGGATTTTATGGTGTCTGACACAAGCATATACATCATGAATTTTACATGGCAATGTCATTACCCCAGTATTGTCATTTTTCTCTTCTGCCTGCCTTATGGATACACACACAGATAGCACTTTGGATTGTTGTGAAAAAACAAGCAACTTGTTTATATCAACAGGTCACAGGACGCCGCAAATAAGCAATGTGGCAAGGCACCCACTGTTCTCCTTCAGATCCTAGAGAGAAGCCAAGCTCTTCTCCTACACAGTTAGTTCCCTCACCCTTCACAAGAGCCCATCAATTGCAATGGCTTCTCATAATTCCCATCAAACATTCAGGTTGATGTCTATGTCCTACACATAGAAGATCATGTTGTAACCATTAAAGAAATAATATTGTGTTTGTCAAAGACCCTGGCAACATTTCCACTTCCAAATAAAAGTACAGCGATGGAGTCACTCAAAGAAATCAACCAGCAGATTGTCAATGAAACAAACAAACAAACAAACGAACAAACAAACGACTTGGGTTACAGGAGAAGCAACATTGATCTGACTTGGGATTTTCTTCCCTTGGTGCTTCCCTTTTTCTGCTTTTTGATGTGACAAGACCTGTCATTTTGGCTCAGGGTTTAGCGCTGATCCTATTCCACAAATTACACTTCCAAGTCTTACCAAGACTATCATGTCCCAGAGCTCCTTGAGCAAGCGCACTTCCTTGTGGCATGCTTTTAGCTGCTTGTAGTCTGGAACAGATACTTCAAACAAGCCTGCCGATTTGGATAGGGCTTCCATCTCTTTTTCCATGCCCGTAATCATTTTTTGTTGCTGGAAGCACACAACGAAAAAGCATTGGTTTCCACTTGCTGAGTACAGAGGTTGGACCTTTACTGTCTTTCTATCTTAGTAGCACTAAAGCAAGGAACATTACAATAAATATCTACAGAGTGACACTCCAGGCCATCTTTCAAGACCTTACTGAAGTTTTCTTGATGCCTGATTGATAGCACATGCGACAATTATTAACTGACATACATATCTCAACAAAGGGAAACAACAGAGCTCAATCGGTCTAGGAATTTTACTATGGCACTAAAAGTACTGCACATGTATTAGAGCAGTTGTTCTTTGAAATCCATTCAATATTGCCCAGATAGACATTTCGACATCTTAGTATGGCGCTTCCCAAATCTTTTCCTTCATTACCCTACATCGCTTATCAGAAAGTTTTATCAAACTTCGATGACCAGTTGTAAGTCCCTTCCTTCAGCACTGTTGTAACTTCAAATGATCAGTGAATTGTAGCTCTAGGACAGTGGTTCCCAAACTTGGCAACTTTAAGACTTGTGGACTTCAACTCCCAGAATTCTCCAGGCAGAGCTGCCTGGAGAATTCTGGGAGTTGAAGNCCCTCCCCTGAAAATAAGCCCTCCCCTAAAATATTTAAATGCATGCACAGCCAGTCCCCACCATTTCCTGGGAGGGAAGGGGGAAAATATGCCCCACATCTCCCATCCATGCGGAATGGACTGAGGCCACTCCTGCAAACCCTAGCTACCGCACCCCTTCTCTTAGTGGCGGCTGCAAAAAGAGTGGCAGACCCAGCGATGCTAGGGCTGACAAGAGTGTGCCAGAAACAGAGACAGAACTTCCGGCCCTCTCTGGATCAGCTGATCCACGGGCCGAGGTTAGAGAGCCTCCTGCACCTAAAAAATAATAAGACCTCCTTGAAAATAAGACCAAGCACTTATTTGGGGGGGGGGGCAAAAGAAAATAAGACCCTGTATTATTTTCGAGGAAACACAGTAGTTATGTGCAGGTTCATTCCCTGTAAAAAGTAAGACAATTTCTCCTGGATGCCCGTGTATTTTTCAGTTTTAGTTTTTAAATAAGAATGTAAATAAAAAGCCCTTTCTGCAGACTACCGTTTGCAGTCAAGAAGAATATGTACAATGTCCTCAACAGCTAGTTCTTCACAAAATTCTTCAATTGAGACTACACAAAACCTCCCCTGTCCTACCATGAAGTCTACTTGTTTGAAACAAACTCTAGAAAAAGCTCTTCTGAGATACTAAGGTATATAAGTTGTTAGACATTTTTCTAACTGGGTGGCTGATTTGTATTGAAAAGACCACTTCAAAGACTTAACATATATTTAAGTGCTGCTATATCGTCTTGGGGAGGTACATCATTGACTCTTTGTTTGAAAGTTTTCTTGGCCTTTAGGATCCAATTGGAGGAGCCAATGTCACGATGTCACAACATGCAGTCTCGATACTCCAAGACTGCCGTTGACACTTTTGCCGCTGGACGGTCCATTGAGACCTAAACCATCCCGTAGAGTTGGCCATCAGGAAGATGAAGCCTTGCTGGTCTCAGGGACATTGCAAAGTCCCTGATCGACTCAAGGGAAACAGGCAGCCCCCAGGCTGATGAAGTTGGGACGGCTCCGGAAGGAAAGAAGTGAAAAGAGAAAGTGAGTCCATCTGGTGAGGTATATTTTCTATTTTGCGACAGACTGTCCAAAGAAAAAATGTTTTAAAGCCACATTAGATCCTTAAGCAAAAGAATTGAGCGGCGAAATTAACCCTAATTGGATTGCCTTGGAAAGCTTTTTTTTCCTCTGTAACTATTCTTTGTGGATTGANTATGTGGTGATCATTATTAAAATGTAAAAATTAGAAGGAACACCAGATGCATATAGAATGGAATGGAATGGAATGGAATGGAATGGAATGGAGTGGAGTGGAGTGGAATGGAATGGAATGGAATGGAATGGAATGGAATAGAATAGAATAGAATAGAATAGAATAGAATAGAATAGAATAGAATAGAATAGAATTCTTTATTGGCCATGTGATTGGACACCTAAGGAATTTGTCTTTTGTGTGTATACTCTCAGTGTACATAAAAAGACAAGATACATTTGTCAAGAATCATAAAGTACAACACTTAATGATAGTCATAGGGTACAAATAAGCAATCAGAAAACAATCAATATAAATCAAAAGAATACAAGCAACAAAGTTACAGTCATGCAGTCATAAGTGGGAGGAGATGGGTGATAGGAATGATGAGAATATTCTTATTCAAATCAAAGATAGGAATGAGGTAATAGTCTATGAATCAAATTTGGGACATTATAAAAGAAAGAGGACTAAACAGAGAGATAGAAAGAGAATGATTGAAATGAGGCCACTGAAAGAAGACAGATGACGTACTATTACACACCCTTATTAGCAGTGATATGGCCATTATGGGGTTAAGGAAACGGGGTAGGAGATATCCCCATAATATTGCACTCTATGGTTTACTCAGATAAAGAATGAGAGTCTCCCTTGACCTATCCATCCCCTCCTCTTCTAACCTGTAGTTGGAATTGCTCAAGAGTGGGTGCAACATGTGGCAAATACTCCTCCGCGTGAGATTCAAGCTCTTCCTGTGTGAGAGCATGCCCAAAAGTCAGGAAGCGCTGCATGAATTCTTGGGGATCATCCATCCAAAGGTAGGAGTATTTTTCGAAGGAGTCTTGATATTCCTCGCCCTGCTTCATGGCATTCACCACAATGTTAGCCACTTCCTCCCTCATCTCCATTAGTTCTCCATTATCTTCCAAGTCAGTCTGCAAACATCAAGGACAATACTGGCATTAGGCAATTACATAAAGCAGCTAGTTTCCACCTGTTAAAAAAAAAGTCATGTGTTGTATTAAATGAACCTTTATGTATTTGTTCTTAATAATTAGAGTATTCCAGGGCTGCTTCTTTGCTATCTATTGAGAAGGAGCTTGTGTTGCTTCTTTCATAGTACCTGTCTGTTTCCCCATTTTTGTTTTTAACTATAGGAGAAATTTGCAGGAAATCTCTATCTGGTAACAAAACGTATAAATCAAATAATTATAAGTGGGGGAAAGATCCCTTGGGGCAACAATGTGCATTACCGTACATGAACATGTTGCAATGGTTAATATGTTTTTAATGGTAGAAGAGGATTTTTTTCAAGATAGCTACTGTTGAAGCTGCTGAACTGGGGCAGGGAAGGTCCACGTTCAGGTTCCCACTCAATCCTGGAGCTCACTGCCTCACTCTTCACACATTGCTATTTCTCATCCCAGCTCACACAATTATTTTGGGGACAGAATGAAGAATGCCTGCAATACTACCTTCCCACAGGAAATCATCATCACTATTAACATCATGGCTAGTGAGCTGTCTTTGACTCAACCCTCCTCTAAAAAAAAAAAAAAGTAAGAGATGTGCACCAGCCCATTAATACCAATTTACAATGCTCGTGATTTGTTGTGCCTGCTTGCTGTTGTGCCCATTATTTGCTGTTGTGCCCATTAATAGCTGTTGTGCCCATTATTTGCTATTCCTTGGGTGTTCAATTAGCAATTGCTTAAAGAGACATTGTGGACATGGTGGCTCAGGGGTTAAGATGCTGAGCTTGTCGATCAGAAAGGTCGGCAGTTTGGTGGTTGAATCCCTAGTGCCATATAATAGAGTGAGCTCTCGTTACTTGTCCCAGTTTCTGCCAACCTAACAGTTTGAAAGCATGCAAAAATGCAAGTAGAAAAATAGGGACCCACTTTGGTGGGAAGGTAATAGTGTTCCAGGCACCTTCAGTGTTTAGTCATGCCAGCCACATGACCATGGAGAAGTCTTTGGACAGCGCTGGCTCTTTGGCTTTTAAACAGAGATGAGCACCACCCCCTAGAGTTGGGAATGACTAGCACATACATCACTGCATGGTTCTGTCCTCAGAAAGGTATGCAGAAATTGCGGGGCGCATTTAATTATTCTTAAAAATTTAAGCACTGCTCTCCCTTTGCCTCATCAGAAACAATCAGTACTTTGTGTAAAGCCAGGTGGACCTAGTTTGATGCCCTCAAGGCATTTTGAACGAAAGCAATAATCAACTCTTGCCTGACTGGTTATCACTTGCCCTAGATTTATTCAGGTGAAAAAAAATCCTTAGATTGGGACTAACCTTATAGTTGTGTTTCCCTTTTGCCAGTCGGGGTATAAGATTTGCTGTTTCATAGATATCATTCATTAAGTTTTCTACCATTTCCAAAAAACCATGTTCTACTCCAACTTCCAGTGATGGACGATACCTTAAGTCATCTTTATACAACTCCATCCGTACTTCAAATAACGGGGCAACATTGGCCTGAAAGCACATCGGTGCAGTTTTCATTTGCCAGTTTTCAGTCTCATGTATAAAATTTTTGTTCCTTTTCTACAAGCTCACTGGGCCCTTGGTCTTATCATTATTGTTACAGTCCTATTTCAATGTATAAAGCAGACTTGCTTTCATTGAAGTGATATTAAATCATTTTAAAGAATCTGACAATTTAATCAGCAGGTACATAAAGAGACCAGTATGTTATGGATTCAAAAGAAAATTATCCCTTTATATCACTTTTCTTTATTTGTATTTTGAATCATTCTGATTTGTGTTATTCAGATTGGTTGAGAATGGTAATAATAAAGTGCAGAACAATTGTAAAACAAGGGAAGAGCAGTACGGGGGAGCAGCAGGACATACAGTGCTTGCTCTCCCCACCTCCACAGTTTTCAAAAGAATAATTCCCAAAGGTTTCAGTGGGAGGGGAATATGCATGCAACCCCCTGGAGTCAACAAGAATTGTGGGCCACATAGAAGAGGAGAAGAGCTGTGAACCCAGTAAATCCAAAATTGCTCTTGTATCAGTATGTCATTTTGAGCACTATTAAACAGCAATTGTATTGCACTGTAGGCTCATTACAAAATATGTGGGCGCTAACACATCTTGCTTAATTACTTTTACCAGGTAGTCCTTGGTTCATTTAGTGAGCGTTCAAAGTTACAACGGCACTAGAAAAAAGTGACTTACAGCCGGTTTTTTCACACTGCACCCCATTGCAGCATTCCCATGGTCACATGATCAAAATTCAGACGCTTGGCCGCTGACTCATATTTATGACCATTGCAGTGTCCTAGGTTCATATGATCACCTTTTGTGACTTTCTGACAAATAAAACTAATGGCGAAGCCAGGTTCACTTAACAACCACGTCACTAACTTAACAACTGCAGTGTTCATTTAACAACGATAGCAAGAAAAGTCATCAAATGGGGCAAAATTCACTTAACAAATGTCTCAGCAACATAACTTTTAGGCTACATTGTGGTCGTAAGTCGGGGGCTACCTATACTAAGAAAGCCTCTCTGGACACAGAGATTTAATTTATTGAGCTTTCATGCAAACATCTTCAAATTAGTATGCAAGTTTGCGCCCCTTAATATCTTTGTGTTTCAAAGGTAGTATTAAAGGAAAAAATACTTCTGAAACTTCATTTACTTACATCGGCTGCCATATTGCTGAGTAGAAACTGCAGTGATTTGCGAATAAACTTAAAGTAGCCATCTAAGATTATTTCGTCTATATATTCTACATAATGAGACCATATTACAGTTGTCTTGTCAACCTTGAACAAGTCTGCATTTTCCTGGAGATAGAAAAAAAATATTTCAGAGAAGCAGTGAATCAAGTTTAATCAGATCCTTTCTGTCAATAGTAATTGCTTTAATGGTCATAGAAAGAGTCATTCAACAATACTTCGGTAACTAGAATTTACCAGTACACATATGATATCATTTCCAATATCAGTAAAGAGAAACTATGGGAGAGAACTAAGAGATTAAAAACATGTTCACTTTAAGCATATCCCATCACATATGGCTCTGCATCAGTGGTGGGATTCAGCCAGTTCGCACCACTTTTGGAGAACCGGTTGTTGGAAGAAATCATTAGGGCAGGGAACCGGTTGTTAAATTATTTGAATCCCACCACTGCAGTGTGTGCATGCGCAGAGCTGCCAGGAGAAGGGAAAGGCTAAGGAATAAGTCGTTAACTTTCTGAGCAGTGGGTGAACTGGTTTTTGGAAGGAATCATTAAGGCCAGGAACCAGTTGTTAAATTATTTGAATCCCACCACTGCCCTGCATCCACACTGATGGCTTGTAGTCCTTGACTTACCGCAGTTCATTTAGTGACCGTTCAAAGTTACAATGGCATTGAAAAAAGTGACTTTTGACTGTTTTTCACAGTTTCAACCCTTCCAGCATTCCCATGATCATTTGATCAAAATTCAGATGCTTGGCAACTGGTTCATATTTATGACCACTGGTATGATTCTGATGAGCAAAGTGAATAGGAAAGCCAGATTCACTTACAACTCAGTTACTAACTTATCAACTGCAATGATTCACTTAACAACTGAGGCAAGAAAGTCATAAAATGGGACAAAACTGACTTAACAACTGTCTCACTTAACAACAGAAATGTTGGGCTCAAATGTGGTTGTAAGTTGAGGACTGCCTGTATAACATTTTTTTTTACCATATAGTGCATTTGGGGCATTGTTTCTTCCCTCCTAGACAGGAACTCCTGTAACGTTTCTATTTCTAAAATAGCATATGCTTCCCTCAGAGCATTGTCTGTATTTTTTAACTGGGAGGGGGGCAAGGGGAGGGAAATGCTATCAGCTGTACATTGATTTGCAAGACAATTTCTAGATTCGAAAACAGAGGTAGATACCATAATATGAGCATGCTTGGGATAAAACCAGGCCTTCACTGCATTTCTGGCAGACTGACCAAAATATGCTAAAAGAGAGTGTAGCATGTGGTATCACGTAGGGTTTTTACAGTGAATCATCTGGATGGTTCTTAGAACTGAGGTTACATGTGTAAGTAAAAACTGCAGCAATCTGCAGAAAATATTTGCCTGTCAGCTATTCTTTGCTTGCAGTGTTTCCAGGCATGATCAAGGACACGGGATGAAACAAAGTAATAAACCTGCAACATTTTATTCACTCATTTGATAACACTTGATTCATTCAGCTATAACAACATGCACATTCTCACGAACACCTATGATGTAAGGACTAACCAATTATTGTGCCTTGGAGACTTGTTAGCCAATAATGATATAACACATAAAGTAGGTAGAGCTAAAGAAACTGCAAACACTATAAGTATGATGTTTCATGATTAATAATTTTGCTGTTGATTATTATGTCAATTCTGGTTGCTCAATAAACTTCTCTTGGTTCAGCTATCCGTGAGTGGATTACATTCTTTCATCTTCAGCCTTGGGACCCTAAATGCTACATTTTCAGTGTAACAAATTTTATTGTTAGAATGTCTCTCTCTATATATATGGACAACTGAGGCTGAAATACATATATTCTCAAAGGTCCACTTAACAAAACCCAGAAAATATTATGCCTCTGATGCCATTAATGAAACTTAATGGCCCATAAATAAATAAATAAATAAATAAATAATGCTGTTTGATGCTTATCATGTTCCTTTCATTCATGAAAACAAGTATTTATATGGAAGGTTACAAATTTGACTGGTGGAAATGTGAGGCTGAACAAAAATTATTTGGCTGAGAGAGGTTACATATTTTTTTAAAAAGCTTAAAATCTTTTTTACTGTACCTTTTTACTTGAACCTCCTGTGAGTGTGAACTAATGTTATTCAAGGGTTTACTTTGCAGTTCAATTAGCAAAATAATAGTTATTCAATAGTCTGGACCACTTTTAATGCTTAAGCACACTTTACAGCTACTTGCGTATTTTAAAGTCATTTTGTAAATTGCCTTATGAATCTTCAAAAGGAAGACTACAAATGCTCTAAATCAATGACTTAAAACAAATATTGTGGTTTCCTACCACCAAAGTATCTCAGCTTCGTACTTCACACATTACAAGGAGTACACATATCTCAAGCTAACAGCCTCCACTGAGCAAAACCCTCCAAAAGTAGCTAGTAATAATATAGTTTCAAAAATAAATATTCATATTATAATGTAGCCACATAGGGTATAAAGGAAGACTGAAGTGCAAGAATAATGCACATTCTTTATATACAAAAAATCTCAGATTTAATCCTTGCTGCATCTAAGTAAGGTTCATGAAGATTATCTTAACCAATGTAGGCAATACTATGGTCAACACTGAAAGAGATGAAGTCATAATATATTATGATAAAACAATTTCCTATGTTTCTGAAAGTGTATAAAAACTAGTGCTATTGACAAACATAACATTCAACAAATAGTCCACATTACTATGAAAACTATCTTTCTCTCATTCCTTCATACCTCCACCATACTCTGGATCTTCTGCCCAGCATCTTTGATTGCTGCATAGCGTTTGTTTATATTGGTTTGTCTTCCATCTAGATCAAGAAGGGCTGTCTCTTTGTTGTCTTTCCTTTCAAACAAAGGACTAGCTGACCATTCCTGTGAGAAGAAACAGGATAAGACGAAACTCCTTTAGAGCAGCTGTCACAAATAAATCTGTAGCCAATGCAATCCTAGGTTGCATTAACAGAGGGATGGAATCAAGATCACATAAAGTATTAGTACCACTTCATAAAGCCTTAGTAAGACCATATTCAAGTGTGATCTTACTAACGCTTTATAAAGCGGTTGCCATATTATTAAAAAAGAGGTAGAGACTGTGGAAAGAGTGCAGAATAGAACAACAAAGATGATTAGGGAGCTGGAAGTTAAAACATATGAGGAATCGTTGCAGGAATTCAGTTTATCTATTCTAGTAAAAAGAAGGGCTAGGGGTGATTTGATAGCAGTGTTCCAATATTTGAGGGGTTGCCACAGAAAAGAGGGAGTCAGCCTATTTCCCAAGGCACCAGAAGACAAGACAAAACACAACTGATATAAACCAATCAAGGAGAGACGCAACCTAGAAATACGGAGAAATTTCCCAATAGTGAAAACAATTAACCAGTGAAATTGCTTGCCTTCAGAAGTTGTGGGTGCTTTTAAGAAGAGACTGGGCAGCCACTTGTCTGAAATGGTATAGGAGGTTGAACTAGAAGACTTCCAAGGCACCTTCCAAATCTGTCATTCTATTCTGTTAAAACTAAAAATCAAGGAGCCTCCTCTTTTTTTAAAAAAGAAACAGGATAGGAAGTTCTTGTACAGCAGTTGTCACAAATAAATCTGTAGCAGAACAAAATTAAAACTAAAATCAAAGAACCTCCTTTTTTAAAGTGTCTGGTAGCAATGCTTTACTCACTTGCATAAGCTGTTCAATATTCTCCACATTTAATTTGGTTTTTTGAATTCTTGTCTCTAAATCATATAAAACATTTCGCATCTCTTGAATATAATCCATAACATCTGGATGGGTAATGGAAGGGAAACTTAGTTAGTAGCTAGTCTATCATTTCCCATGGAGTTAATATCCAGTTCCCACAATTTTATCACTGCAATATAATGGCATTAGAAACAAAAGGCCATAAGAACATAAGAATGGCACTGCTGGCCCTTCTAAGCAAATTGGTGGCCTATGGTTGTCCTTGCTAGAAAGAGACACAAAAATATTCCTCTCCTGCCACTGCTTCCTGCAACTGATATTTGGAAGCGCACTCCCTCCAGTTTGGAAATAAGGAGATTCAAGGCAGATCCCAGCTGGTATTAGATAAATGTACCTTCATTACTCCAAAACAGATTGGTCTCAGCTTTCTCTAGGCCAACATCAATTTCTTCCAATTCAGTTTTGACCAGAGGAAGTTCTACTGGCAAAATTGTTCTCTTGATCTAAAAAAATAGGCAGTTTATTTCAGGATGCATTCTTAGCTCATTTTGTAGATATATGGTATTGTCTTGATAGTGGCATATTTTATTTTAGTCCTCGAAACTTTTTTGCTTATGCGCAAGTTAAGGAGGGGGGGAATTATTATTATTTTTTGTCAAAAAAAAGAAATGCTATTGTGGTAACTGAGTCCCGCTTTAGAAGCATTTGTGGTGGACATTCAGCAAGTTCAAAAAAGCTGTGAAGTTTGCAGAATTATATTAAATTATATTATGTTACATTACATTACAAGAGCCGTAGTAGTGCAATGGTTAGAATGTAGTACTGCAGGCCCAGATTGTTGGGGGCAATAGGCTGACTCTGTAAACTGCTTAGAGAGGGCTGTAAAGCACTATGAAGCGGTATATACAGTAAGTCTAAGTGCTATTGCTTATATGCAGTACAGGTTTTTATTTGCAGGGCTGAATTGTGCTGCTTTCTTATAATCCCTTCCAATTTATTCACATAATGAATGGATGGATACATGAAATAGCTCATCATTCTTCCTGACAAAGAAAGATGGGGTATGCCTCTTTATAATCTAATGGAGCTAAGCGGGGGGGGGGGAGATTTGTCTTAAAAGGGGTCAGTGGAAGAAAATGGGAAGTTGCTAAGATTATAACAAAAAGCAAGAAGAAAATATGACACTGGGAGGCAGTTGTGACAGGATTTGATTACTCCGACCGTCTTCTAGTTCAGGAAGCCTAGATAAGAATTCTCTGAGTTGAGTACTTTATTGCCAAATGCCAAGTCAGGGCATTGAAAAATAGCCACTCAGGTTTGGATTCTGATTGACTCTACGTCATAGAGACAGGGTAGATGACATTCAAAGAAATAATTTCTTCAAGCTTAGCCTGATCGGAGGCAGATTTCCAAAGATCTGTTGTGATCTTTTCCATCATTCTGTGTGTTTGGAACAGAGATTCAGCCTCCCTTCCCAACCATCTGAAGTCTGAGAAATGTGCCCAAGTTCCCTAGGCTTGCTTTTTTTTGGGGTGGGGGTGGGGTAGATTTAGCTTTGACTATCTGAAACTACTGTGTAAGATGGGCTCCAGGATTATGTCCAAATTAGCATCTGGTACTATTTATCAATCAAAGTATACTTGATTCCAGTTTTCTGTATTTGGTGGCATAAAATTTAGGTTTGATAATTCTGTTGTGATGGACTGATCATTACCTAAGGAATGAATCATTATTCAGACCATCACTTAGCGTGACTCACAGCTTCTACAGATTAGCAAATAATGAAAGATGGATTGGAATGATTTCTAGTAGATTCCAGACACAACTGAAAGACTGTTTAGGAACTATTAATTGTCTTGAGGCTTATCTGAAAGACAACAGAGCTTGCCTAGTTTCTAAGATCCTTGGGACCTTTTCTTGAACCTCTCATCCATAGAGAGGGCTTTCGCAATGATTACTAAATGAAGAACGAACTGCTAGGGAAGATATAGCATTCCTGTTCCACTGATGGGCAACCATGTTTTGATTAAGACAAGCTATTTGGCCTTAAATTGACAAGCTGTTGAAAAAAGATTAGTGTCTGTGCGCTATAATTAATGTCTTGCTGATGCCTTTTTCTTTGAATCTTTATGAATCTTAATGCTTTAGTTCCAACTTTATTTTATCTCCATTTTATTGTTAGTCATACTGATCTCTATTGCTAATGAAGGAGTGTGATTTATAATCACAGTTCCAGAGGTGGTATTCAGCAGGTTCTGACCAGTTCTGGAGAACCGTTAGTGGAAATTTTGAGTAGCTCGGAGAACCAGTAAGTACTACCTCTGACGCCCCCATCTATTGTCTGCCTCCAGAGTCCCAGCTGATAGGGAGGGAATGGAGATTTGGCAGTAACCTTCCCCTGGAGTGGGGAGGAAATGGAGATTTTACAGTATCCCTCCCCTGCCACGCCCACCAAGCCACACCCACAGAACCGGTAGTAAATAATTTTAAATCCCACCACTGGGCAGTTCATAAATAAATACCTTATTGTACCAGCCAACAATGAGATCTAGGTTATCCACAAACTTCTGGAAAGTTCCACTCTGAGAGAAAAGGCTGCCAGCACTGTCTGGAATTTCTTTTTGCTGCTGAAAGTTCAGGTACTTGACTTCACGGAGAACAGCTATGAGCTGTATAGGAATGCAGCCATGAGAAATAAGTGATTTTCCAAATATACAATAGAAAACAAAATTGAACTAAAATGTGATGGATATGCTTGTAATACAACAGGAAGTTGTATGAACCCATCTGGTTTTATCCATTTCTATAATGTTGAAATATGTTAAAATCTGTTCCACATAAAGCTGCGTGTAGCTAATATGTAAGTCTTATTGCTATTCATGTTGCTGAGGAAGCTTTCCTTTCAATGCAAAGAACAGCTATAAGAATCCAAAGCTGGGGATAATAGTAGCTAAGGACCGTCTCCTCCTATTGCAAGGTTTCAGCCTGCATAAGGAAATCTTACAGGTTTTACTGAGTAGCAAAAGAATTTGGATAGTCAGTAACCAAATAACGTATCATCTGATGTACCAGTGCAATCAAAGTCTTGTAAAGCTTGAAAGCTCATAAGCAATCTAATCAATGTCATTTAAACAGAATTAATTTCAAAACCTTGTAAGGTTATTCTTTCTGTATATAATTTTGGGAAAGATTCTGCTAGGATCAGTCATTGCATACTAAAGAAACATCATACATAGATGTCGGACCATGCCGATCAAAGGTGGTATTCCGCAGGTTCTGACCAGTTCTGGAGAACCGGTAATGGACATTTTGAGTAGTTCGGAGAATCGGTAAATACCACCTCTGACTGGCCCCGCCTCCAACTATTCTCTGTCTTCCGAGTCCCAGCTGATCAGGAGGGAATGGAGATTTTACAGTATCCTTTTCCCTGCCACGCCCACCAAGCCATGAACTGGAAGTAAAAAAAATTGAATCCCACTACTGATGCCCATCATTCCCAGACAGAAGAGTCAGCGCTGTCTGAGAATCAGGGGGAAAATAGTCCTATATAGCTATAGTCTGCCATTTTGGAGAAGGCTAAAAACTTGCAGTCAAACTGAACATTGAACTGTTCAGTTTGCTTCCACTTCCTTTACCAACCTCTTTGCTGAAGTTGACACTAATAAGTCTTGTTTCTGGATCTCTATGGATCAGTGGTTGCTCTAGATTAAACTGGCAGTCTCTATCAACTCTGGAAATCCACTGTGCATAAATTCTTTCACGGTAGCCTTTCAGCAAACGTATCATCTCATCATATTTTCCATATATCAGTTTGGCTTCAGAACTGACCATTACCCTGCAAAGAGGAAAGAAACCCCTCAGTTCGAGAAGGGAAATAGAGTTTAATTAACAATAGCTTGAACAAAGCTAATAGCTTGTAATTCTACTCCAGGGAAAATATTACTAAAAACTGGACAGTCAGTAATGGCAGGTTGTTACTTACGGATGATCAATGGCATGCAACTCTTTCCTTGGGTTCTGCAATCGTTCCTGGAGTTCTAAAGCCCATTTCAGTTGCCCAGCAACAGGTGGCATATTTTTGCTAATGGGAGGCACATGATCTCCAGTTTCAGTAGCTTCTATCTGGGCATCATACAAAATCTTTGCATTGTCCAATTCAACATTGAACATCTCCAGAAGGGTAGTGTAGTGGGGAGCGGCGTCTGCTTTGATCAACGGTCGTTCCAACAGAGATGAAAACATATGGATTTGCTGGAGAAGAAAAGTGGTATGAATAAGTGTGTATGTGTGAGTGAGCGAGTGTGTTCGTGTATACATATAGGGGATTTATATCCCTCATCTTTCAATATACATCTGCAGAAACTTTTTGAGGTTCTTTAAGCAGTTATTCCTAGCCATGCTTCTTGGTATGCAACTTCATCCCCAATGTTGTTTTCTTTTCAAATGACCCCATTCTGTGACTACTAAGCATGTTCAGATCTGTATTAACAGTGCCAGTAAAATTGCTGAGATAAACAACAGTAATTAAGAGAATGATCATGTAAACTTATGTATGCGCATATTGAAAACATACAAGGAAGTGTGAACTAAGGTAACCATGGAAGAGATACAAGGAATGCAACAGCACAAATAACAATGCCTCCATTGTGCTATATTCAGAGTGAAAGCTACTATCTGTTTCTTTCCTTGTGCTGCTTGGCTTTTAGGAATCTACTTCCTACACAAAGAAACTGGGACACAACACACAACTTGTGATTTGTGCAGCATGAATCAAACTGTTTGTTCTTTAAAATATATTTCCCCCATTCATGGCAATAATGCTTTATTGTTATCTTATGGTTTTAGCAATTCTAAAATTTTGTAGCTATCATAAAAACAATCAGAGTTCAGCCAGGCAATTCCTTTAAAAAAAAAAACCAAAAAGGTTCGGCATCATCTTACAAAACTTTTCTCTAATCCAAGTACTAACTCTTTTTGCAACAAATCACCGTTTCTTTTGTTGTCTAACGATATAATGGGGATAAAAATGCTCATAGAAATATGGGTGAATTGATATTTTTTTGCATGCAAACCCTGCATCATTTTTCAGTGTTTTCCTCAAAAGTATACCCTTATATCAGTGTTTTTCAACCTGCTAATCAGACAAGAGAGACAATGTATCAAAAGAACAGCCCATTTCTTGAAACTGTATTTTACTGATGATGATAGCAATGGAATATATTATGAACACATTTACATACATTTTAAATTTGTATTAATTTCAGATAATTTTTTTAAAATCCTAATTATAATTAGTTGGAAGCAGTGAGATTTCATCTACCCATTTCTTGCTCCCAGAATCTTGATCTGGACTTTTAATAAAATCCATAAAGTTAATGGTTCTATGTGAAAGAAATCTGGTGCTTCCAATTGCAGATATTGTAAGAAGAGAACCATGTTAGTCTATGGTAGCCAACAAGAAAAAAATTCTGGTACTAACTTTTCAGCCTAACATATTTGCTTAATACCCAAAACTTTCATGAACTACAGTTTAAGAAACCTGGCATCTGATGAAGTGAACAAGAGTTCATGAAAGTTATGTTCCCTAATCAAATATATTACTGTGAAAAGTGCTATTAAAATTCTTCTGATTTGTGAAATGAATAATTCTGGAAATACTTCCAGTCAATGGTGGGATTTAGCCAGTTTGCACCTATTTGGGAGAACCAGTTGTTAATTTTCTAAGCAGTTGGGAGAACCTGTTGTTGTTTTTTTCCACTTTACAGGGCTAATGCTGTAAGGAAGACAGGAAGGAAACATTCTGGTGTTGTTTCTAGCCTAATCCTTATTGCCCTGCTTACAAAAGCTGCCTCTCGGGTTAATCCTTATTACATTGTAACAGCTAAGGCAAAGCAGCCATCCATGTGAGTGACGTTGAGTTGGCCCTGCCCACCTAGTCATATGACCACTGAGTCCCGCCTACCCAGCTGGTCATTAGGGCAGAGAACTGGTTGTTGATTTGAATCCCACCACTGCTTCCAGTCCTTTGTCAAGTCAGTAGCTTCTTCTCCATTCTCTGAAGAACAGATAATGGTAGGACTGATCTACCCAATCTCTGGAGGGCTAGGGTGAAGTTAAATTATATATTGAGTGGGGATTGATCTTGGGAGTTGTTTAATTCTGAAAGAGTCTGAGAAGTTTCAGTAATGCTGTTCCATATTGAGCACAGTTTAGAAAAACAGTTTTTGTTCTTCAGATCAGAGATAGAACTAGAAAAGTCCTCCAGATTATCCGGTCATAAAAATGGTTTTTTTCTGGCAAGAACAGAAACAGCTGCTTGTCCTACTAGCAATAGCAATAAGCACTTTAAGTCTAAGTGCTTTTACAGCTCTCTCTAAGCGGTTTACAGAGTCAGCCTATTGCCCCCAACAATCTGGGTCCTCATTTTACCCACCTCAGAAGGATGGAAGGCTGAGTCTACCTTGAGCCTGGTAGGATTCGATCTACTAAATGGCAGGCAGCCGGCAGGCAGCAGAAGTATTCTGCAGTACTGCATTCTAACCACTGCGCCACCGCGGCTCACACCTACTACCCAGAGTGTTAGATAAGAAACAGGTAAAGCTTCACAGGAATACGGGTACCTTGACAGCTGATTCAAAACTGCAACAATCAGCAAATCCTTGACAGAAAATGGTGCCCAATCGCCTATCCAAATCCTGGATTTTGATCTCAAAATGTGCATAATCTTCATCAAATTGCTTTAAATAACAAAAGTAATAGACTAAATTAGATCAGTTAATATCTATATACGTGGACTGGCAGAAGTTATTCCCACTCCCAATCAGAGAAGTATTTGGGCCAATTTACATTACAAGAAATGCATTTGTTGCTCTAACAATTATAAACACCAGGATTTCCTAGGTTATATTAAATGAATAATTAATCAGTTTTATTAGTACATTTGTTTTCTGTCATAAAAGGACCAACCTCATCTGCTGGATCTAATGGATCATATTTGCATTCTGCAAAAACTTTCACATATTCAAGAACCTCTTCGTAAATTTGGAACACCAAACTCCCTAGGATATTGCCTTTCACACCTCCCAGTTCAATTTTCTCCAGTTTGAAAAATTCAATTGCAGTCACATAAAGTTCCTTAAAAAGACATATAACCACATTATTCACAGATTTTTTTTTAAAAAAAATTAAGTGCTATTATTCATAAAACAATTTTATCTAATTTCAGACTTTTTAAAAAATAGAGTTTAAAAGTTTAGATTTTTATAACTACTGATATGTTATATAAATAATCTGCTTTTTATATAAGAATATATCATTTTATGCTAATTCTTATTGCAGTCATTTCCCATTTTATAGCAGCTACTTAATTCCTACCTCTATGGTCTTCAATCTATGAAAAAATAAATTCATTCTTGTAAAGACAAGAGTAGAGGGGAATTCCCAGTACTGAGGTTCTTTATCCTGAAAACATAAATAAAAATATTTTATTTATTTATTAAATTCATTTATCACCCATCTTGTTGCAATACCTAATATCAGGTCTCAAAAAAAAGAGGTAAGAAATATTTACAGAACTTTGCTTCTTAAATTCTTTCCAATCTATGCTACTGGTGGCCATCATTGGCATCCTTCAGTCTCAAAAGACTATGGTATTGTGCTCTGGAAAGAAGTTCTAAAGCAACATCTGGTGTGGCTAAAAAGGCCAATTCAAGAGTGGCAATCCCTTCCACGCTGATGGCAGATACATTCTGTCCCCTGCCCAGTACCCAGATTTCACTGGTTCTGGGACTGCTTCTTTGTCTCAGCCTACCGAATAAGTGTCTCTTCAAATTGGAGAAGGCCATGCTGTGTCTTTAGCCTCCAAGCTGAAGGATCAGAGGTTAAGGTTTCCCAGCTGTTAATGTCCATTGCCAAGGCCTTTAGATCCTTCTTGCAGATATCCTCATGTCGCAGCTGTAGTCTCTCTCTGGGGCGCTTTCCCTGCACTAATTCTCCATAAAGGAGATCTTTCAGAATCTGACCATCAGCCATTCTTACAACATGACATGACAGGGTGGCCATAGGAGACACCTTTAATGAAACAATGTGATTTGTGTGACTGCTCTTTCTTTCCAAAGTGTGCATAGGGGTGATAGAAAGATCATCCAATCAGGGTAGATGAATATATGTTGCCTCTATATATGGGTTTCAGCAGTTTAGCTGTCCTGTATCCTAATAACCTTCTCTATTTGAATTAATCCAGTTAAACCTTTTGTGAGAATCTTGCTTTTTGATTGTGGTAAGGGCTGAATTCTTGGCAACGGGATACATTTGCCAATTTATCTCTAAGTTCATTAGGGCAGATATTTCCTGACAACGGAAGTACATGCAGATGCTGTATGGGGACAGTCCTCCATTAATCACCACTTGTTCAACAATTGTTTGAAGTTAGTAAGGAAATTTATGGCTGGTCCTCAAAGTTGCAGCTATTGCCGGGTCCCCCCAGTTGCATGATGACAATTTGGGCACTTGGCACACAATTCCGACATTTGCAGCATTTTGTTGGGTGTGTAATTGGCATTTGTGATCTTCACCACTGGCTTTTGAGAAGAAAATCAATGGGGAAGATCCGATTCGGCCGAATAGGTAGTAACTCTAGCGGATACGTGACCGTACAGGTTCTATCCTTGGTGGCACCATCTTGATTTTCTGTTCTGCAAATGCGCAGAGCAATCTTCATTGAAAAAAATGTGATTTTTATTCCTTTTTTAATGTTGTGTGCATGTGCAGATCATTTTAAGTGCAAACGTGTATATGTGCAAAATTTTTCGGGCACCGAGCCAGTAGTAATGGCAGCCAGACCCCACCCCTGATTGGCACAGTCATGTGATTTTTTTCACTTTGCGAGCACATTGCTTAGCAACAAAGTTCCCAGTGTCAATTATAGTCATTAACTAAGGATTTCTTATGTGATACTAATGCTTTGCGAACCGCCCTCTTCTTTCCCATACTCTGAGAAGCTTACAGTAATATTCCCTCTAAGATTCACCAGGTTCTGCTGCTCTGGCTGTTGTGGCTAACCTTAAAAAAAGAAGGCATTGTATCATTGGAGCAAAGGTCATAGGTCTTGTAGAGTTTCTCAATCACAGCAATGGCCACCTTGATTCCAGATAAAACCTCCTCAATTTCGCCTTGCAAGCCTTTCAGCACTTCCTCGGGACTCAAAAAGGTACGTGTCTAAACAGGAAAAGAGGCAAATAAAGATGAACAAGGCTTATAAAACCAGACATTGTGACTGAAATGTCATTAACAGCTTGGCAATCAATGGTCTCATGCTTGAAGGGTTGTTTCAGTAACATAGTTACCAGATGAAAGTCTCCTTTGTTTATGCTGGTATTTAAGTCTTTTCAGGATGGACTATCTGGTAGAAGAAATGTCTCAGATTGGCTTATGGAATAGCAGTGGCAAAGAGGAGAAAGCAGAGTTTATGAGAGAAGGCCCAGAGTTGTTGACAGGGTAAAGATTCCCCATCCTGGCTCTACCTATATTCCCTTCTCTGGATGCAATGTTCAGACATAATCAGAAATGCTTCTCTCGCAGTGCTTCTTCACTGGCAAATTATTGGGGTTAATTTGCACAGTCCCTCAATCTCTAAAGTCTTTATTTAGTTTCAGGGCAAATTGTTTTCATATAAACTGGAGCCCACACCCTGAATGCACAAGAGATTGTGGTCAGTGGTGGGTTTCAATTTATTTTACTACCGGTTCACTCGTGCGCATGCGCAGAAGTGTCCGGGCAAGTGGGCGGAGCCTCCCACCACCGCCACTACTTGTTCGCCCGATCCAGGGCAAACCAGCGGAAACCCACTTCTGTCTGTGATGGCAAAATCAATCATATGCAAGATTGTCTTCCATCTGTAACACTGCAGATCAAGAAAGCTTGCTCCTTCGTTTTTTCCTTTGATTGGTCAAATAAAAATGCTGGGCAACATTAATTCAATCTTGAATTAACTGAAATAATTTCTAAAAACCTATATTGAACCTCTATAAGACTAAATTGTAAGAGGAAGAAAAAACCAATCACAGCATTTTTTGGATACTTCAAACCTGAATGACTTTTAGTATTATTGTCCTGGTTCATGAGACCCACTCTTTCTCTTGAATGCCAAATGCCATAAAGAAAGTGGGTAAAAGTGATGATATTCCCCTTAATTCTGCACCACTCTTTATCTACCCAATCTATCAACACTAAGAGAAGCCTGTAATATGCTACATTTATATTTGAGCTTTTCTTGGAAGCCATACCTTTAAAAACTTAAGAGGAATGGACAACGGACTAGATAAATTTCATTTGAAATTCTTTGCATTATAAAATTCCTTTTCAATCTATTTCAGCAGGCAATCAAGCAAGATTATAAAAATAATCTGTCAGTGGTAGTACATTCTACTAAGTTTATATTACATACTGTAAATTGCAGCTCTTTAGACTGATGGTAGGAATTGTAAAGAAATCAATGTATATTAACATCTTGATAACAGTGCCCGACTAGACAGTGCTTTTGTTTGAAGGTTTTTGAGGTAAGAAAACTGCTCAGAATTTTTTAATAGTACTATAATCCTGAATTTGGTTTACTGTCTACACCACCTAATGCACATAAACTAATTCATCACAAGAAATTGATTCGCTTATTGTCAGCTAGATTTATAATTCAAAGCATTGGGAAACTAAAATGCATTTTTACTGAATCCTATTTAAAGCTGTAGGAAATTGCCTAGGCTAAAAATAATAATAGAACAATAACTGTCTTGGAAAAATTCTAGTGATAAACAAATCCAGTCAAATTTGTCACCAAATTGCTTAACTATATTAATAAAACTTTTCAGAATCAATTATATACACATCATGATTTTAAAATGACATTTTGTTCTACACTTTTGTTTTCCATTTCTTTTGAAAAACAATATGTATGTATCAGAGGTGGGTTGAATAGGTACTAGAAACCAGCCGTACCGTAGCATACCGTTAGGACTGGTGGCCTGGCCATGCCCCCATACCAGTACGGTCCCTTGGCCTGGTATGTATGCATATTTAAAGAATAATAAGCTTGGTTTCATTATTTCTTTTTCATTGTTTCTATGGTTAAACCTTTACAGTGGTCACAAACATCAAAGTGATAAGGAAAACCCCTTCTCAATAAAGAATGTTTAATTTCCATAGTAAAATACCATTTCAATGAAGAGATTACAAATCTCCTGCAAAATGACAATGACTCGGGATGGAATGTTGTAATATTCAGAATTAGCCCAGATCAAGCATACTGTGTACATGATGCTATTGATGTGCGAAGACACCTGTATGGAAACAGCAGGATAGGAATTTCAGCAAGGTGAAATAAACATTTCAATAGTACTGCATATGTTTATGGTGTGCTGATCAAGATCATCCTTTCCTAGTCTGAAAATCCCATCCACACTTCTGAATGTGTGAACAATGTTCCCCAGGCTAGGGGAAAAAAACCTATAGTTGGGCAACTATAAACAAGCACAGTTAATCCTTGAATGTCTGTGGAGATTCTCAGTCATCCAGATTATGGTTGTCCCAAAGGTGCTTTTTCAAGAGGCAACTAGCCATTCTGATCTTTCTTTTTCTTTTCTTTGAAAAAAGAAGCTTCTTGGATGAGAAGCGTAACATCTTCAAAGAAAAAAAGAAAAATCAGAAAGTTCAGCTGTCTCTTGAAAAAACACCTTTGGGACAGCTTATCCTTAACTTTGCATGTGCCCAAAGCATTCTCATTTCCAGAACTCCAGGAAATCATTATAAAGAAATAGAAGCAACTAACACCCAACATAATGTATCAGTTTACCCTCCTTCTCATTTTAATAATCACATGGAGGTTTCTGCTTGCATGCTAAATCAGAGCAAGGAGACTCTCTAAGACCAGTGTTGTCTGTGGAATTCTGGGAGTTGAAGTCCCACCCGCCTTAAACTTACTGAGGTTGGGAAACCTTACTCTAGACCAGTGTTTCTCAACCTTGGCAACTTGAAGATGTCCGGACTTCAACTCCCAGAATTCCCCAGCCAGCATTCGAAGTCCAGACATCTTCAAGTTGCCAAGGTTGAGAAACACAGCTCTAGACTGTGCAACACTCTATGGACAAAATTTGTCAGTTGCATAGAATGTCTCCTAAATGGCTTTTCCTTCTCTCTGTTGTAAGCTTAATGAAGAAAACTTAGAATGTGTTGTGCTGCATGAGAAAATTCTCTCCAGTTTAAGAGATTCCAGGACTACAGACACATAAGAGGACAAGAATGAGGTTTTATTGATAAAGTTACACTTCAGGTTGAGTGGAGGAGGGCCTGATGCACTTCAGTGGAACCCATAGGTGAGCCCTTATATTTCAGTAGATTTGTGCAGGTTGATGATAATAAGTGTAAGTATTGCCAAGCCATATTTCCTGCTTTTGGTCTCTATTTATAAGCCATGATTGCTTTCCTAAAATATTTGGATTTTCTGAGGACTAGTCATTGTTTGTGTTGGAAGTGGCAATAGCTTGTTTCCAATCATTTTGGAATCAGCCATTTCCCTCTCTGCCCAGGTTTCCATGATTGGATTTAGGCTGACTTGTAATTTTAATTTAATCCTAAACAGTGTAGTCAGGATCTTTACTTGTTCTTTGTTTGATAATATCTTCCAGAGAATTCTTATGCTACTCTCGCATACAGCTCCTCACCCAGCCTAGTATTCTTCGGGGATGGACTTCATTGCCCATAGTATCTAGCCATAGAAGCAGAGGGAACTTCTACTTGCAAAGTCCCACAAAGCTGAAAAGGTCAATATGGTTTTTAAAAGTGATATAGTGGCCTGTAACAGAGGTGGGTTGATCACGGTTCGGCACGGTTCGGCCAAACTGGTAATGGCGGTGGCGGGAGAGCTCGTTCCATGCACAGAAGTGTTGCAAGCATGAGCAAACCAGTAGTAATCCGGTTAGCAGCCAACCACTGGCTTGTAAGCTTCCACATGGTGGCTCTCAAAACATTATTTATTTATTTTTGACATACCTGGTGATAGTCAGCTTGTTCCACTTCCTCAAGTGTAACTTTTAGAGGCTGCAAATACAGGTTAATATCATCGGCTTCTTTCAATCCTGAATAAAAGGAATGCTTGAGGGTAAGTGAATTAAGAAGAGAAAGAGAACTGCTTAGTTTTTTGTAGAACTTTTTTCACAATCATGTTTAGGTTGGTTGGACTTGGAACCTGAAAATGCAGGAATTTGAAAGAGTGGGAAGGGTACGGGTAATAGGGAGAGCAGTAGGCCCTGGAACTCCTCTGTTTAAAAAAATATGGTTATAAAATACCGTGTATTATATAGCAATAGTTAGGCTTATATACCGCTTCATAGGGCTTTCAGCCCTCTCTAAGCTGTTTACAGAGTCAGCATATTGCCCCCAACAACAATCTGGGTCCTCATTTTACCCACCTCGGAAGGATGGAAGGCTGAGTCAACCTTGAGCCTGGTGGGATTTGAACAGCCAAACTGCTGAACTGCAGTGCTGCATTTTAACCACTGTGCCACCTCGGCTCATATATTACGTTGGTTGCTACTCCTCTGATTTCTAGAATCCAATGAAACAGCCACTTACATAGGTTACACAACTAGATATTCTAGGAAATAGAGTTTACCTGCAGATACATCCCTGAAGACATTCTTAAGTGCTGGCCAATAGCAGCTTTTTGCTCGCTCTAAAATGTCAGCAATCGCTTTGACTTGAGGCGCATAAAGCTGATGGGGAAAAGCAAAAGCCAGATCAGAAAAACATGTCGGCCTTCAGTATCACAGGCTGATGTCCTTGCAAATCTGAAAGAAGCCGTTCAGCCTACCTGCTCATTTATGCATTGCAGATTGACCTGCCTACTGTACCAGAAATCAAATTCTACTCTGGGTAATGGGTTTAAACCATCCAGAAGAGGCTGAGCAGAATCCTTACTCAAGATATCTCGGATCTGATGAGACCAGTCAATAATTATTGTTTCAATGGAGTGTAGTAGGGAACTGTCCACAGTAGCATGTAGACTGGGTGGGGAAAAGCACAGAGAAGACTTAATGGTATAGTGGAAATAATCTGAATGTTTGATTCCATAGTTAACAGATCATATGCATAGCGTATATAAGACATCATACTAAGACTCCTCTGTCCAGTAAGTTTTCTGTTGAAAACCATCACATACTAAAGAACCATGTAAATAAAAAGCTAACAATTCTCTAATGAAGATCCAAATTATGGGATTGGGTTCAATTTTGTAAATTGGATTCTGCATATAAGCACACTCAAACAGCAAGATACATTACATAAACTTAATGCAAGCTTTGGAATCTTTTGATGGTAGCTTGACAAGAGATTAATAAAAAGTGAGGAATGAATGGACAATGTGTAATTTCCTGAGTAACTGAAGGGAACAAAGTGCTATGGAGCGTAACATAAGGGCTAACTGAATATACCCACATATTATTCAGGTGATTAAAATAATAGTATATTGTCTAAAGAGTATAATAAACCTAATAGTATGTGCATCTATTTATTTGTAATTGAAAGAGTCCTGCCTATCCTCTCTCACTCCACACAAATTTACAGAAGGTGGCAGACATAACTGAGAGGCATCCACCTGTCAAAGACTTCTGAGACACTCTCCAGAGCATCCATGTTCTCTGGTAAAGGGAGCAGCGTTTTTCCTTTGATCTTTCCTCCCATCACAAACATCTCATTTTTCAGCTTGTGAGCTTGCCGAATCACATCGTCAGCTACTACTCGAGGCCATCCGCTAAGGTTTACACTTTTCATGAACAAGGAGTAGCCCACCTATAGGAAAAGGATTTTATTAGAACATATAATACTGGCATAAAACAATTTTGGATTTGGGGGAAAAAATCATTTTGAGCACAAAATAATTATTTCAGGTCTGACATTATCTGCTAAAATTATCTAAATTTTATAATTTAATATATATATATATAACACACACACACACACACACACACACACACACACATATATATCATTTAGATAATTTTATAATTTATACATATAATATAATTATGAAATGCTAAAATTATCTGCTACAATGTCCTACCTGTCAATGACTACTTCAGCTTCAACTGCAACAATACATGAGCACACAAGAGATACAAACTTAAGGTAAACTGCACCAAACTGACGTCAGTAACAGAGTTGTCAATGCCTGGAATGCACTACCGTACACTGTGGTTTCTTCCCCAAACCCCAAAACCTTTAACCTTAGACTGTCTACTGTCAACCTAATGCCATTCCTAAGAGATCTTTCAGGGGCGTGCATAAGCGCATCAGCCTTCCCACTGTCCCTGTCCTAATATTCCCTTGTATTCTTATTCATTTCATATATTCATAATCATATATTCATAATCATGTCTATACTTATATCTGTTATATAATTCATGCTTGACTAATTAACTAACTAACTAACTAACTAAATAAATAAATAAATAAATAGTTTCACATTAGAAATACATTGTTATTTTGGAAGCTTGGACTTTGAAGCAATTTGGTTTCAAGTTAAAAAAAACAACAACTCGGAGCTCAAAAGTCTTCTGGAATTGTTTTAAATTTGAAATTATTACTTTATATACCTCCTAATAAATACCTTTTTTTGAATCATAACAGACCTAATCAAACTAAAACTTTTCTGGAAAAATCCATTCTATTTTAAAACACCCATGCCTGGAATTTCATTACAGAACAGCAGCATTCATCTAATGACACTATTCTTGAAGATCCATGTCAGTGATGTACTAGTAATATGCACAATGCTGGTTTAACAATAACTCTGTGCGAGCACTGATCCTTTCTCTTTCAGCATATTACTCTCTAAGAAGAGATAAGTGCACTATTTTAGGCAATACGAGGAAATTTCATTTTTAGGCCAGTTAAACTGTTGAAGCAGCCTATAAATCTATGAAAAAGATCAGTTTCAAAGTTTGAACTAGAGGAAATGTTTACCAATATTAAAATATCTCTATAGAAACATATGGGCAGCTCCATGGAATCATTTCTACTCCTTTTACCACCGATGGCCATTGGAGGTTTTAATATTTTCTTTCTTTGCAATGAAGTCCTGGGCCCCCAACTCTGTATATATGTGTTTATGTGCATTTTTTCCTGTGGGACTAATCAGACTGTGTGTCCATAAGGGACTTGCACAGAATGTATTTGTGAAGTTCTAAACCAGGACAAGTGTTACCTGTGTGTTAGTTAGAGAATATATTTGTGTTTCTGCTGTGTCTCATATTGCGGGAGTAGGGTTTTGTATATGTACCAGAGTGGCAACTTGTGTAATATAAAAGTGGTGGTGGGAGCAATGCTTTCTTAGCACTGTTTTACCAGTCCTTCTTAGTGTCATTTCCTTTTTACTGGCCTTCAGGCACATATTATCTCAGCCTGTTTCTGTCTTTGCATGCTTCTGGTGAGGAAACTGAGTATATCCTAAAGGCAGGGCACTGTCATATGCCAAGGTCTCGGTTTCAGTTCTGCACTTTATCCACATTTTAAAGGATGAAGGGAAGCCTTGGCCTGAGTCTCCGGAAAACTGCTGTTAATTTCAATAGATAAATCATTTCATCCTGAGCTACAAATATTCTCCTTTACTGATAGATAAACCAATATTTTGACTGGCCTGAGGCAGCTTCTGATGGTGCCCATCATATGTAAAAAACAGCAAGATCAGTTACATGGAGAAACTTAAGTTCACTGGCGACATTAATGCTATTTCTCCGGATATTTCACAGATTCTCCAGATATTTGCTTCATAATTCTACCTCCTAGGTTCATAAATAAGGAGAATGTCTGTGTTGAATATAAACCTCATAGGATTTTCTGGGAATACTCCTGCATGGACATCCCACAGGAGTCAGGCATTTCTTTACACAACAGATACCACCGTGCCATTTGAAACAGTGTCATAAACACTGGAAAGGAATATTACATTTTTTGGGGGGAAAAACAAGAATAAAAAAAGTGGCCAGATTGTGCTAGGTATAATTTGTTATATTTCAATCCTAGCTCTTTCTCCAAAGAGAACCAAATAAATGTTGGTTATGAGAGTGCTGAAAAGGGGATTTATGATCGGTCCTCGCATTTGCAATCAATCCAGTAAACCCACAGTCACACGGTCAAAATTTGGGCATTTGGCAACCACCATGCATCCTGGAGTCACGTGATTGCCATTTGCAACCTTAACAGAGTGCTTCCAACAAGCAAAGCTCCTCACAACCATTATAGGAATAAATTAGGATTGAGATTGGGAATGGGAATGGGATTGAGAAAACGAATTCCCCCCTCCCTCCAGGACTGTAGATACTGCATCATATTGGCTTTATACAATAGTGAAAAACAATAGTTTCAGCCATAATATTGTAGGATTTTTGCTTCCATTTTCATGTAGTACTGAATACTGGTACAGTTCCAATGGTCTGGATTAACCAATATTCTGTGAGTTATCCATCTTGTTGATGCCAGTCCTGCTGTCAAAACAACAGTCTCTCTATTTGCTGAAAATGGAAGCATCCTGTAGCGAACCACAAACCAAAACTGGAAGCCTACCTCTTCCACAATAGCCATCATCTGCTCTACTGGGGAAGGGCTGATATCTCCCACAATGAGTGCTTCCTGGAAGTTATCTTTGGTAATGTTTTCATTCTTCTTTTTCACAAAATAAACTCCTTTATTTTTCAGTGTTGATGGGAAGCCAAGGCAGGGGATTAGTTGTCCAGTAGGATTGAGGGTGATCACCAACGTTGTCACATCCTGCTTCTCATAGAACTCATTGAGCATGGTATGAGTCTCTTCACTGGTTGCAAACTTGGACCATTTGTCAGGTTTAACATGAAGAGACAGAGTGCAATAATTCTCTATGAAATCCAGTCGTTTATCAGCCACTGTTGCCATGTTGATTGCTCACCAGCTAACCACGGAATGAACAGAGCTGAGTAGCTAACAAACTGGAAAGTCTCCTCTCCCAATTGTATTTCCTGTCTTGGGGAAAAAACATCTGTTAGAGACTGGATGGGGTGCAACAGGTGGAAGCTGAACCCTGGCTCTGGGTTTGGGGTTCTTTGGCCCATGGAAAATTGCCACTCTTGGTCTTTGATGGGGTGGCACTGCCCCAAACAGACCCAGTGCATAATCTGGGGGTTCTCTGGACTCACAACTCCTGCTCAATTGCAGATTGTGTGCCAGTTATGCCTTTTCCTGGACCAACAATCCCTACTCATGGCCACTCATGCCCTAGTCACTTCCCATCTTGACTATTGCAATGTACTCTACATGGAACTGCCCGTGAAAAGCATCTGGAAGTTCCAGTTGGTTCAAAATGCGGCAACCCACGTGGTTTTATGCAGACGTTGGTGTGCACATGCCTCACCTCTCCTGCAAGAGCTACAAGTACATTGGTTGCTGATTTGTTTCTGGGTGCAATGCAAGGTGCTGGTTGTCACCTTTAAAGCCCTTCATGGCTTGGGACCAGGCTATCTGAGGGACCGTCTCTGGCTGGTCACATCCACCTGACCCACTAGAGCAGGGAGGCAAGAAATGTTGCGGGTCCCAAGGAGGTACATCTAGCGGGACCCAGAAGAAGGGCTTCTCCATGGTGGCTCCCTCCCTTTGGAATACCATCCCTCCAGAAATGAGACTGGTCCCTACTTTGGCACTCTTTCGGAAGGCTTGGAAGACTTGGTTTTGCCAGCGGGTTTGGGGAACCCAGAATGGGATAGAGCCAATCAAATTGCTTATTTGACCATGTGCTGTCACTGGTGGGGGTATTGCTTTTTTAGTTTTATTTTTTTCCCATATTGTGTTTTTATTGTTTGTAAGCTGCCTAGAGTCACTGTGGGTGAGTAGGTGGCTACAGAGGGGTATCCAGCCAGTTCTGACAGGTTCTGGAGAACCAGTAGCAGAAACTTTGAGTAGTTCGGAGAACCAGAAAATAGGCTGGCCCTGCCATCGCTGCCTCCCAGCCGATCTTCTGTTGCCCTGAACAGATGAACGGAGCTGGAAAGCAGGTTAAGTGGGGTGGGGAGGGAACGGGGATTTTGCAGTATCCTTCCTCCAGGATTGGGGAGGGAATAGGGATTTTGCAATATCCTTCCCCTGCCACGCCCACAAAACCATGCCCACAGAACTGGTAGTCAAAATTTTTGAATCCCCATCATGATGAAATACTGGTGCAAAATTCGGAAATGGTTGGAAGAAATTATGGAGCAAAAAATAGAACTGAAACCAGAAGCATTCTTATTAGGACTATTAGACCAAAAAAATGGATAAAGAACTTCAATACATAATAATACACATACTCACTGCAGCTCGGATTGCTTTCACACAAAACTGGACAAAAATCAATACACCTGCAGATGGAACAATAATTAGAAAAGTACTCGAATGCGCAGAGATGGACAAAATGACAATAGAGCTAAAAGAAAGAGAAGAATTAGATTTCTATAAAATATGAAATAGAATTTATAAGTGGCTAGAAAACAGAAGCCAAAACAGAAAATAGAGAATGTAAATATATGGTGATATAAATAATTAATATTATTATAAATGTTAGTACTACTATTGTTATATTATAGGACAAGGTAAAAGCAATAGGAAGGCAATGCAGAATGGAGAATTATAAAGGCTAAACATGAAAGCCAATACAGAAGGCTGTATAATTACTTTATATTGTTAAGTATGCTTTGTGTTTTGTTTTTTCTTGTGTTTTTCTTTCTGTTTTTAAACGTTCAATAAAAACTATTTAAAAAAATTGAACCCCACCACTGGGTGGCTATATAAATTTTCTAAATAAATAAAAGTAAATAAATAAATATGTAAACCCTGAACACTAGGCAATGGTTGAATTCCCATTAGCCCTGGATAGCTAGCACGACCAACAGGTGAGAAGATTAAGCATTGTCTTGTTTGGAGGGCTACACATTGCCAAAGATTCCCTTGCTTTAGGGCGGGAGTGTCAAACTCACCCCGTCACAGAGAAATCAAGCAATGTATCGGGACATTTTTCCCCTTCTTTAAACCGGCCCATGGGCCAAGAGTTTGACAACCCTGCTTTAGGGGAATCAAGATACTCACAAAAGGCTCCTCACACCCACAGACAAGCAGGGTTTTACCATGTTTTCCCTTACCTAATAGGCCTGGAGGCATCCAGTTGAAAATCTCCAACTGCCAAGGAATATTGCTTCCAAACAGAAGTCTAGTGACATCATTTATCAACGGCCACACCTGCTAGAACCTTCTTTCACCTACATTCCCTTACTGGCCCTGAATATGGTAAAATGGTAATCTCCCCTTTTCCTAGAATAATATTTCCACCTGTTATGATTTGATCAAAATCCAGTGGGCTTTAAGGCAGATGTACTTTTGCATTTAGAATTCATTTTGTGGGAATCAACAGCTGTCCTGCAGGTGCCCTGCTGAGAGAATACCTTACTGCTTCCTAAAGCCCCAAACAATATTCCCAAATAACATATTGCCATGTTGCCTAGAAACTCAGGGATCAGGTGTGTGTGGAGCTGAAGATCTTATTTCCTTAATGTGGAAGAGAAAACAATTTTACTTTTGCAAAGGTTTTTTTTAGTGCACTCCAAAATACAAATCACTAAGTAATTCAGGCGGAACAGAAAGCATTTATTAAGGGGAGTCAAAGTCTTTTTATATGGTACAGAAACAAATAATACATTCAGTATATGTGATGCATCAGAAAGCAACAATCAAATTACAAGACAGTAATTAGACATAAGAATTAAAAATAGGAAGCACCAATCTTAGATAACATTCCATAGGTGGCAAATTTATAGCTTATGTCACCCCTTTCTCAGCTGAGTTTTGTCTTTCTTAATATACTTGCAAGTGTATTCTAGAACTTCCAGAATATGTCATGGGTGCTCCATCAGTAGTTTTGGATAACCATTTGTCTGAAGTAGTATCGGGTCTCCTGCTTGAGCAAGAGGTTGGATTAGAAGACCTCCAAGGTTTCTTCCACGTCTGTTACTCTGTTATTCTGCTCTGTATTGTTTAAAAGGCTAGTTCTGCTATCAAAAAAAAATGGTTTTGATTAAAAAGAAAATGTAATTTCCTGAGCTTCAGAGAAGATATGAATGGCTTGCTAAAATGCTAATATCACCATTATTAAAATGCTAATAATGAAGCCAGATAACATATGAAAAGCTTTTCCCCTTCTTTCTTCACTTTGTTCCTGGACTAGCTTCTATATCCCTTTTTGCAAAGAAGCAAAACAAATAGATAACCTACATTTACTTATTTAACATTAATTTTTGGAAACATTAACCAAGGCATCATTCCATCTATCCAGCGTTCATTATTATTCTTGCAGCTATTGACAAATCAGCAGTTTCCCAACAAACATGGAGTGTGTAAGAGCCATAGGGTGCTTCATTCATTCCCTCATGATCCATCACTTCTGCCAATGACATTACTGTGTAAACAGAAGAGAAAGGTTTGAAGTTTATTGATCCAAGTCAAGTTTTCTTTTAATATTCCCCTCTGGCTTTTATTTTAACAGTTGCTAGTAAAGGGCAACATTTACTGAGGTTTGTGTCTGTAGTCTGTAATTTATACATTGCACACCAGTGATATTTCATCCACAGCCTGACAGAATATTACACTAACATAAGAAATGAAACTCCTTTTTCAGATGCTGTTGGCCAAGCAGTCTTGGACTTAAAAAAAATGAAAAGTTGGCTATAAAATTTCTGGCAATGTGGAGCATCCTGGGAGGAAACACCCAGTCCTACATTCATGTCCCAGATTATATTCTGTGACAGTAGCTGGATGTTTCGCAAGTATGATGGAATTGTAGCTCTTTGATGAACTTCTTAAATAACAACTGTGTTCGCCTCAATCAACATTTCTGGATGCATGTCACCATTAACAACATAAATACACAAACAACTTTCAAGCAGTCTCCAAGGTATGGATTCTTTTTGTGTTCCTTCTTGCTACCTGCTGATTTAATTTAGGTTATAATTAGACACAATCGGTACAAAATGACCTTTCAATGCCAACCAGCTAATAACTCAACAGCTGCTCTTGAAGTAGGACTGTCCTGAAATTCTTCTAGGTCATGAGGACCCGGATTGTTAGGGGGCAATATGCTGACTCTGTAAACCGCTTAGAGAGGGCTGAAAGCCCTATGAAGCGGTATATAAGTCTAACTGCTATTGCTATTGTTGGTGAACCTTTTTGGCTAAAAAAGGAGCATGTGTGGGAGAGGGAGCGCCAGAAACTGGAAGAGCAGTTCCCCAGCATGCAAGCGTGCGCTGGGAAGCTGAGCTTCCAGTTTCCAGTATGCACATGTGCCCCAGTCACCTGGGCTTTTGGTTTCTGGTACACATGCATGTGCAAAGACCAGCTGGCCAGCGTGCATGCATGCGCCGGAAACCAGAAGCTCAGCTTCCCGGCATGCACATGCATGCCAGGGAGCTGCTCTTCCAGTTTCCAGTGCTCCCGTGTGTGTAAAGATCAGTTGGGTACTGCGCATGTGTGCGCCAGAATGTGGAAGAGCAACAGGCGATGGCTGGCGTACCTGGAGAGATGGGTCTGTGTGCCACTTAGTTCACCATCGCAGTTCTAGGTTCTGTATTCCTTATTTGTGAAAGAAATAGAAATGGGAGAATAGAATTGCTTTCTTCAATTATTATGTTTCTGAGCCTGTCTCATACCTTCTAGATAAACACCACTAGAGTCTATTTCTTCACAAAACAGAAACCTTCGTCTATCAAATATCACTACATTTTCACCTTTAGGTTTTTTTCAAAGGCATCAAACTGAGGATGACGCCTCTTTCAAAAAAATATTTATTTTAATGATTGTCACATTTTTGTCTCTCTCATCTAGATGAGACACTGGGTAGTTGATCAGGCAACTGAGTCATGTGTTTCTGTATCTGTGCAGCATTGAAGAAGTGATGAGGATCTAGCATTTAAAATAGTGTTTATAGTCAAGGATATATATCCACATCAGTTTTCTCATCACAAAGCTATTAATTTACTCAATTGTAGCACCTTTTTGCTATAGCAATACTGTATATAGCTTTATCATTTGAGATTCTCAGTTTCAGTTCTCGACATCTTGAATGACAAAGCAACAGGGGATGCCTACAGAGCAACAGGCCCAGTGCCTACTGGGGCTGACGAACAAGAGTCTCGCTGATGTAAGAAGATTTTTCAATCAGCCTAGCATAAATGAATGCCACCAAATACGCCCTACACACCACACTATTCTTTAGTGGTGGTGGTGGTTAGAAATCATATCTCAAAAGGCATGATTCCTGGAAAGG